AAACGTGAACACAGCTTGATCGCCTACTGTTGCATTCTCACTCTCTCTCTCTCTCTCTTTACAAATGTTTAAACAAGTGCATTTAATGTTTTCGCTAAATAACACTTGAAAAGCAACCACACAACCATCATATCTAAACATACACAACAGGTATGATAATGCAAATGTGCTTCGTTCCTGTTGTTCATACCTCTGGGATTAAAATAATGCATCGATGCACCCATTTGCCATTGCTACTCATAAGAGAGAGAGAGAGAGAGAGATTTGTTCATCCACTCCTCTTCATACTCCTCCCAACCCTTCACCCACACCTCTCTTTCTCTTTCTATCCCTTCATACAAATGCGGGACTCTCTCTATCTCTCTCATGAGCAAATTACATACACGTAAACGCCCCTAGAAATATACTATGCATACGAAACCGTATGATTACTATGACCATGTATGGTAAATACACCTGTGTGCAAATGGAACGCGAGAAGAGCTTCGATTTTCGATTAGATTTAATTTATTATCTTCTACTCTATCTCTCTTTCGATTTGTCGATGATTGTGTATTTATATAAATATATATATAACATTTAAATATTATTTTTTTAAATTAATTTATATATTTAAATGCAATACGTTATATTGAAATATATCAATTAATTTAAATGTAATTAAAATAATAATTTAAATATAATATTATATTTTATATATAATTAAAAAAAATATATAATATATATATAACACTACATATAATTTTATATATATATATATAGAATTGTAAAAGGAAATTTGAACACGCGTGTGTGTGTGTGTGCTTATCGTGTATAATAGATGCGTATGTATGTATGTATTTATGTAAAATGCAATGATGTAAACAGAGTTAAAGCTAAATCCTAATAACAACCCTTTTCTTATCGTAATAAACGAAAATAGAATAAAGGAATAACAACAACAACAACAAGAATGATAAAAAAATAAAAAAAAAATAAAAATAAAAGGATGAAGAAAAGTATTAAAGAATGATCGAAAACGTGATAAGATAGAAATTCGAAGAAACGAGACAAATTCTCCGTTCCAAGGATTCGCCGAAGTTACTTCTTCTTCTTCTTCTTCTTCTTCGGTAACGTGTTCCAATGGATTATGGAACACGTAAGATGAATTTCTTCCAATTTAATCTTCTCACGAAGTAACGTTTTCTCTCTCTCTCTCTCTCTCTCTCTTTCTTTCTTTTTTTTTTTTCTATTCTCTGAGAGAACCTTGGGAATTGAAATCGAATCGAATCAACCTACACACTACCTTCCTTCTCTCTCTTTCTCTTTTTTTTCTTCTTCTTTTTTATTCATTTACGAACAAGAATGCATGCGTTCATTCCTAATCTCAAAAATCAGTCTATTAGAAATCTTGGAAAAAAAAAAAAATTATCTTAAATTCATTTTAATGCTAGTATTACTACTAAAAAAAAAAAAGAAGAAAAAAACAAACAAAATGACTGACACCCTATTGATAAAATATCTTATGAATTAATAAAAAATTATTAAAAAATAATATATTTAAATTTATAAATAAATATTTCTCTTTTTATTTTCATAATAATTAATAATCATTATTATTAATTATATTAATTATAATTATATTGGGTTTACAACTAAGTAATTGCAAATTTTACCAATCATTTTTGTTGTTGAAAAATTTGCAATTACTTACTTGTCAACCCAATAAAATTGTCATTAATTAATTAATATTAAATAATAATTATATAAATTAATAATAATAATAATAATAATAATTAATAATACGTAACATATTAATAACTAATTGTTAAAAATATTTAAATAAAATTAAACAAATACTATGTGTACTGAAATACAATTTGAATATTAAGAATCCTTTCGTATTTTTTAAAAGATTTTATAAGTAAAAAGAATGAAAGAGAAAGAAGATGAAAGAAGAGGGTTACGGGGGTGAAAGAAAGGAAGGGTTTGGGACGAAAGAAAAACCTTTTATCGTACATGCCCGAGGACAAAGATCAACAGTTTTTACATCATCTACTTTCCTCTTAAACACGTAAGCAAACGCTAGCCTCCATCGTTCGATAATCATCCCCTTCCCACCCCTTTTATCTTTTCCTCTTTTTGTTCATTCCCTCTATTAGCTCAACTCCCCTCAACTCCTTTAACCACCACCTACCAACCCCATTTACTCCTTCTTTTTACGTTACTTCTAAAATACGATGGGCCACTGTTTAAACTCTTTGATATTTAATATAGGACAATATATTTTCGTGTTGGTAAAATTTAAAATTATTTTAATTTAATTTTTTTTTTTTTTAATATTTAAATTGTTTATGCTAATTGTTATATGCACAAATTTGTATGTAAGTTAATGGTAATTATAAAAATAAATGAAACTAAATAATAGAAATAAAATTGATTCTAACACGATTTGCATTGTAAAATATAATTTGTGTAACACTAGTGTATAAAAATATATTTAGGAAATAAATAATATAAACAAATAAAAAATAAATAGGTGGGTGAATAGATTTCATTATGGGTTGTAATTTAAAAAATTAATACCGAGTAAAAATAAAGTAATTGTAATAAAGAAAAAAATAAATTATGAAATAAAGTAATAGTCAATGACTTTTTTATTTTTATATCAATATTAATAATTACCGAAACATATACTATGCATATGTGTAAATAATACACATATGATTAATGAAATTATTCAGCAAAACGATACTTTAAAATAATCTATAATCTAGATGATTAAATCCTCCTGCAGGTGGTTAATATTAGTAGTATACTAAACATAAAATTCTACAAGATTTTGAACCCACTATTATTATTATTATTATTATTATTATTATTATTATTATTATTATTATTATCATTATCATTATTATTTATCGAGATTGCAATATCGATCTCTCGTAACTCTCATATTCGATAAACGTGCGTATATGTAAAACGTATTTCAGCTTCCTGTATTTATTGTATCCTCGAATAGAGTAGCAACTGTTGTTAGAGATAGATATATTGAATGAATGAGTGGGAGTATGTGTGTGTATGTGAGTGAATCAGTGAGTGAGTTAGTGAATAACAGAAAGAGAGATAGAGATAGAGATAAATAGATAGATAGATAGAATGGTATTAATCCAGATAAACGGAGACTCGTGTGAGATAATGGAAGAGAGTGTGCATGTATGTACAAACGAGCAGCAAGAAAAGACGAGTTGTTCAGTAGGCGTGCATATACCTATATATATATATATATATATATATATATATATATATGAATATGTGGTGTGTGTGTGTGTGGGTGTATGTATGTATGTATGTGTATGTGCATTTAACACGTTTATATGTAGAATAAATCGCGTGAGAAATGGAACATCTGGGATATATCTGTATCTTCTTTGAATATAAACGATACGTGTACATATAAAAATTCATATAATAATTATTATCATGATTGCGTATATTAATATGCGTATACATTTTCAAAAAGAAATAAAATAAAATCAAATAAAAAATATAAAAAAAAAAACCAAAATATATATATATATACCGATATATTATTAAATAATTGAAAGTATTTTACTATCTTGCAATTATTCCAAAATAATAAATTAATAATTATTTTTAATATTAAAAATTGGAAAATACTATTATATCAATTTAAATTTAAATTTATAAACATATTAAAAATTATAACCAATATATAAATTTTGTTTCTTTTATTATTACGATTATATTAATTTAGATTTAAATTTATAATCATACCCAAAATTAAAAACAATATAATTTATAATATAATTATCTACACAAAAAATGTATATATTTAAATACGTATAAAATAATATTAGGAAAAAGATACAGTTTCACCAGATCATTTGAAACTGAATTTTAAAATACGAAACAATTTTCAATGTAATAATAATAATAATAGTAATAATATAAATAGGAAAAGTTATTATACAAAATCTCTGAAAGGTAGAGAGAAATTATTTTCCTCTCATTTATGATTTATTATGTTTGTTTAGAGTGTAAAGGATAGAAGAGGAGTAACACACGCCATGCTTGTTCCTCTTCGTTGAGGGGAATGGGGGATGAGGATGGGGGGTTGGAAGTTGGGGGTTGGGTTGGCAGCCGGGTCCTCTTCCCGCATGCGGTTCAGAGAACGCACGGATAATAATGGATAATAATGCATAAATGGGTGATCGTCGATTCGATTCCCACGAATCGATGATTCGATTGTTTCTGCTATTGCACGCTTGGCCATCCGCGTCGCATTCGAATCGAATTTCTCATCTCCCGTTACTACCCCGTTACTACCCCTGACCCCCTTTTCCTACCCTATTCCTACTACTACTACCACTACCACTATTACTTCTATTCGCTGTATCTACCACAAACACGTGTGCTTTCTCTATCAGTTTGATGTTAAACTCGAATTTCTCTCTTGTTGCGTGTTATATACTTAACTATACTTTTAAAAATAAAAAAAAATAAAAATATTTTTCATAGTCAAATACGTGGCAGTTTTGTACGTTTAAAATATTGACAAAATATTTAATAAAAACAAAAAAATTAGGAAATAATATAGAAAATAAACTATTACAACCGTATCCTACTTGCACTGCAAAAAAAAAAAATGTATAATAAAATTTTGCCTAATTGTTTTATTTCCTTTCTGCAAATATTTATTCATGTCTTGATATATATATATATATATACTTTGTAAATTAATTTAAATTACAATATACACCTAAATGAATAATTTTTTTTTTTCTTAATAAATGTTTATAACCGCGAGCAGGAAAATTTTTTAATATTAAAATTCATAAAATTTATAAAAAAAATTAAAGAACTCATTAATATACGTGGACTCGTATATATAAAAATAATAAATAATAAGTAACATTTGACAAATAATATTTTGCGAATTTTAATATGATACCTCGTCAATTACTATAAAATATGAGATATAATAAAACTAAACATACCTGATTTTTACCCTTGAGAACGAGGACATTGGTGACACGACCAAAGGGTAGACCCAAATGTATTATCTCAGCTTCAGATACTTCATTAGGTATATTTCTTATATGAACTACTTTAGACGGCTTGCCATTGTGACTCTTGTCGAGTTTCACCTGAAACAGAAAACAATGAGACCACGTAAATAATCAGTTCTAACGAATATAATAGGTTAACAAATTTAAAAAGTATATATAAAAGATCTGAAAAAAGATAGGGTTTGTATGAAATAATGGTTGCAGACGAATCTATGGTGAACTCTGAGATATCTCAGGATGATGGTTTTTCTTTGATAGCAATGAAAGAAATAGAATAAAATAAAAAAGAAGAAGATTTCCTTTACCAAAAAAGAAAAGAAAAAAAAAACATGATGAAGAAGAAAAAGAGGAAGAAGAAGAAGAAGGAGAGAAGCATGGTCCCAGTTGGTTACATTATTTAGTAGTAGTAGTAGTAGTAGTGAAAGAAACGGAAGACGTTCAGGAAGAGACTTGGTACTTTGGAGAGTGTACGTTTAAATCGAACCTCCCCAGGTTGCCGGAGGCTGAGTTTTCAATCACAGCTCAATCTAGTCGACTCTTCTCTGTTCAGTTCAGCTCAGCACAGTTCAGCTCAGCCACCAACCAGTGAAGCTACTACTATTTCTCCCTTCCTACCTTCCTTTCCCTTTTTTTTTTTTTACTCTTCCTTGCTTTACCTTCTTGGCATCCCTTCCTTCCTTCCTTCCTTCTTTTCCTTCGATTCGGAAACACTCTTTTTCATCTTTCTTTATCACATGCACAGTTATTTCTATATATCTCTCTCATTCTCTTTTACTTTAACATCCCATTCCAAGAAAGAAAAAGAAGAAGCTTGGAAGCTTGGAAGCTTCAAACTCCAACGACTTTTCCCATCCTTTTCTATATATATATATATATGTATCCCTTTTTCTCCCTTAAAAACGTCGTTGAGGTTTAGTTGAGTTTAACTGATCGGAAAATGCGTTTCTTAGCGAGTTAAGGAAGACAGATATTTCAGAGGCACCCTATCCATAATCCTCTTTTCTCGTTCGCTTCCTTCTCGAGTTCTCGAACAGCGAAATATTTCAAAGACGAGAAAAGATAGAGAAAGAGATGGAATGAGTAAGAAGGAAAAGATCGATACATACATATATATATATATAATGTTACGTACGTAAGTTCGAGTTTACGAGTCTACCTGGTTAAATTATTAAAGCACGTCTTTCCTTCTTGATTTAAGATCGAACTACTTACACTTATATTATCTGTTTTCAAGATACTTGCTTGAAATACCAAAAAGAGAGAGAGAGAGAGAGAGAGAGAGAGAGAGAGAAAATTTCATGAGTAGAAACCAAAAAAATTTATTTAGCAAGAAGATGTGTTTTTTTTTTATTCCAGTTAACCACACCTGTACGATGATTTAAAAAATCCTTTTTATTTAACATGCTATGTTTACTATTGACCTAACTATCCCTATATTTAATTTTCCAGGATGTCAAAGATGCATCAAGTGTTTTATTTTTATGTTCTTTTTTTTATTTATTTAAAATTACTTTCTGCTGATTAAATTTATATAAGTCATATTATATGGTAATAAAATTTGTATCTTATTTGTTAACATTATTATTTTATAAACACGTATATGTATGCAATGTTTGTGAAATTTCAATTAAAAAAAAAAGTAAAAATCTTACTTTATATTTTATATTATTTAAATATTATTTGTAAGATTGTAATGAATTTTTGTAGAATATTATTTGTGAATTTTATTAATAGTTATTTTATATCTAATTTTATACTAGAATTTATATAATATATAAATATTTAATATTATACAAAAATATTCTATGATACAATAGTAGTATAATACAGTAATTGAATATAATATATGAATGAAAGAATTTTTTATTTAAACTATCTCGTATACTATAAACATAAATGTCTCGTATATGAATTAACAATTAGTGTTCTTTCAATAAAGTGAATGAAAATAAAAATATATATATATAGATATTTGATTATATTATTTCGAAAAGGTTATCGAAAAAAAAAAAAAGAAAAAAATATTAAAAATACAAATCCCTGACTGGATAGTATTTTTTGTTATATTTTTTTTTCCTTTGAATAAAACATTGATATCTTTACGTATGAAAATGTAGCGCATTATTCATTCTAAAAAAAAAAAAAAAAAAGAGGGGAATAAAAATAAACTAAAAATAAAGACTAAAAATAAAAATGTTGATCTTTTTTTTTTTTAAATAAAAAAATAGAATAATACATGCATGCAACGATGGTAATAAGAGGGGATGATTGATAAAACGGATAAAACGGATAAAACAAAATGTAATAAACATTTTAATGCGATGAAATATTTATTAAAGTATTATTGAATAATATTATATATCCTTTACGTCTGATAAACATTTTATTACCTGTTTCCCTGTTTTGTAATTGTAAATAACAACGACAACACGTGATGATTGTGTGACAGTGTTGGTGAGGTAGTTGGAAACGGCATATTAATAGTAAAATTAAATTACAGTGAATAAAAATGTGAAAATGCATGCATGCATGATATCTGCTCGCTTTGAAGTCCGTCATGTATTATACAGAAAAATTCAAATATAAATACAGTGAAATAGAAAAAAAAAAAAAGAAAAAAAGAAAAAATAAAATTTGGTCTCCATTAGAATCGTTCGATTTATATGAAATTTTTATAAATTAAAAAGAAAAAAAAAAGATACACAAGGAGAGAATGAAAAAGAATCAATAAATGGATTTAATTTAATTTCAAAAAAATAATTCACATTTTCATTTGTATCTCTCTCTTGTTCAATTATATTATCTTCTTCTTCTTCTTCTCTTCTAACTATGTTTTATTTATTATCATAAATTAGATAGAAAGTAATGTTAAAAAGTAAAACACAATAATTCTTTCTAAAAGTATAAAATTTTATTATGTAAAACCACACATGGTGGTGTATATATGTTAGGTCAATTTTGTTTCAATCAGTTTGTTCTTGAATAACAATTGTTATATACATTTTATATACATTCAAAAAGGATATTCAATTAAGAATAATAAAATATTCATGGTTCAACGATATACACGTTAATTGTCAATAGTATTATTGCTAAAAGTCAATTTTTCAAATGTCTATAAACATTTACTCAACGAAAATACAATTATAATTCATTTTCCATCATTGAAATGAATTTTCTATTTAATTTTTAATTAAATATAAATATATATAATTGTTTCTTAAATGAATTCCACGTACAACTACGGATTCGATTTTCAAGATACTTTTGTTAATCAAAATCTTTGAAATATTTTCGTAACTTTTTTTTCTTTTTAAAAAGTACCAATATAATTATTTAGTTAAATAAAAATTTATTTATATATAAACGATAAGAATAGAACCCATTATCAAATACTTCTATATAAAATACAAAACATTAAAATTTACTGAATAAAAAGAGAGAGAAAAAAATTAAAAAAAAAAATTACATTTTATTGAACAAACCAATCAGAAAGTTTTAACGATATACAACTACTACTCCATAAAACCATAGCAACATCCTGTAAATTTTCTTCTTATCCATGTGACACGTCATATCCCCCATAATCCCGTTATTACAGTTACAATACACTTAAAAAAACGAGATCCAATTAAAACTAATCTTTATATACAAAAAAAAAAAAAAAAAGAAAAGAATAAAAATAAAGAAAATAAAAAGAAGTAGAATAAAGTTAACGAGATAGAAAGAGACAATTTGTTTTTTTTTTCTTTCTTTCTTCCTCTCACTCGTTCAAACAATTTCCCCATGTTCAACAGGTATCTCTTTTCTTTCTCACACCCCCCTTCTTTCTTAAAAATTTCCCATTAAACAAAATGATTTCTTTTTTTCATCTCTCTCTCTCTCTCTCTCTCTCTCTCTCTCTCACTCACTCTTCATTGTTTTATTTAAAATATTCATCCTCGAAATGTGAGCCATTACAAAAAATAAAATAACCTTGGTAAAGATATGAATTGTCTTTTAGGAAAAAGGATTTACATTTGAAATGAGAAGTATCAAGATCATTGCGCGAAATAAAATGAGAAAGTTACGATCCAGCCCTTAAAATAGTCCCTCCATTTTATACACCCTTATCCCACCTCTTTATAAAACATCTTTTAAGATAAAACGAATAAAGATTATGAAAAGTTTCATTTTCCATTTCTATCCTTTCATTCCTTTTTTTTTTCTCTTTCAAATGTAAGAATCTCTTGGAAAAACATTATCGTAAACGTTGTTGAAAGCTACGCTTTCGTATCGTTCATAGCGCAAGTAACTTTGTCGTTAGGTGAAACTAAGTTATAACGTAGGTAAAACTATGTATTCTACGAGAGAGAGAGAGAGAGAGAGATAGGAAGAATTGTTATTAGTAAGAGTAAGAGAGAGAGAGAGAGAGAGAGAGAAATATTCATAGAAGTTTCTCGTATAAAGTGTAAACGATAAACGATAAACTAGATCATGTTAGGGGTGTGGGGGTGAATCGTTATATACCTTAAACTAAAGAAAGAAAAAAGTAGAAAATGAGAGGAGTAAAAGAAAAAGGAATGATAACAAAAAGAGGATGATAATCGTAGCTGTAAAAACCCGATGATAATTTTTACGATATAGTCATTTTTAAATATTGTTATGCAGTAACATAAATGAGAATGAAGACATTGAAAGCTGTACTTTTCTTTTAATTTGTACAATTAAAATAAAAAAAAATCTTTTCATTACAAATATATATGTATTCAAATTATTTTAATAATCACACGTTATACACATATTCGATATTGAAAGTGGTGTGTACAGGTAGAAAATTTAACACGAATACGAACACGTACACAAATTCTTTTTTAATCTACCACGCTATTTTGAAGATATTTAAATTACACCAAAAAAAAAAAAAAAAAAAATAATTGTTACACGTTAATGTCTCTCCTCATTATGGAAAAATAATTGTTAAATAATTCAAGCCCAATTATCGGAATATCTCAAAACGTAAAATGTGTACGTGACTCTAGTAACACTTTTATAATAACCAAACCCTCATATATATTTATAGAAGCAATGTTGAATAT